CCAATTCAGAGACAAGGATGTCACGTGGCACAGCGTCAAAAGCTTTGCACAATTCCAGGTAGATTGAGACTTTCTTTCTTACACGCCTAAGAAACCACACCCAGTGCAAAAATAACCGGAGGCGGAATCTCCCGGAGGCAGCCACAACCGCCCTTCCCAACTCGTACCTGTGATGTGACGGTGCATGGGTGACCACTGCAGGGCTTAATGGGATACAGAACAGCGTGTCCACAGCCTCTGGGAAGTCTCGCGGGGTGATCCTGAGCCGCCCACTTCTGTGGCTCACGCCAAGCAGGGCGATGGGCTGGCAGAGTGCTGGGGATAACGCCGACAACCTGCCACGGCCTCGTGGTTTACTAATTGGAAATACCCTCAGCACTTCACCAGGAGATGAGAGACTGTCATCCAAATCTGACCCGCAGCGTAGCCCCCAACCCCTGTTAGGGCAACGTTATTACCAAAGCCTCTAATTTCCATTTTAATTTGGGATGGCTGCAGTGATTCCCAGCTCTCCGATCTATACCTGCGGCAAGGATGACGGCGCTACTCGTGCTGTAGCTGCTAACTGCCACAAAAGTTGCAGTTTGAGATATTAAGGGAAGCCAAAACATCACATTGGTTTAATTTGGCATCTACTGTGACTACACTGTGAGCTGGAAAAAGCAACAGCTGAGGAGATGCTTCACCACCAGCTGAGAAATCCCTGCAGGATTAAAAGAACCGAGAGCCAGACAGGATGGGCAGAAGGTTAAAAAGAATCTCAATCTCAGTTTTCACTTGCAGTTTAGAAACCCAGAAAGACACAAGTAAACATCCAGCGGGTCATCAACAGCCACGGCATGATCCAGCCTCGGTCCCACGACACGTGGGGAACAACGGTGGTGGTGTTTCCTCCTTGGGTCCCAAAGGACTTTCCTGGAACAACTCTTCCCTCCAGACTCAGCCCAAACAAGTTGGTGTCATAAGAAAACTGTTACTGAGCGAGCCTGGCTGCCGCCTGCAGGTAAGGTGCTTAGCCCTCTCAGCAAGTCCCTCCTGCATGCACCAATCAGCAGCACCTCTTAAAAGAGATTAAAAAAAAATAACCCAACTTTAGGACCTACCAGAGAGGTAACATAAATGAGAGGGGGAAAAGGAATGATGACATAACTAGGAAGTTGTCATTTTATTCTCGGTTGTTTGAGAAGTCTTTTGTTTTAACACTGGAAACTTGGATTTTACCATTTTATTATTTCACCAGCTCAGGCAACGTTAAATAAGCAACCTAACAAGGGATATGAATGTGAACCACGAGGGAAGGTTTTCACCCCAGGTTACCAGAAGGTGCACTTTCTTAATGCATATTTATCTGTAACGACATGCATTTTGGGCTGGGGCAGCTTTTCTTGAAAGATAACAACACAAAACTTTCATCCTATCAACCGCAGGGACGAATCCCACAATAAACATCTCTAGGGCTTCCCTGAGCTTCTTGGCAATTTCACATTTCTGATACTTTAACCACAAAAATCAAAATTCTAAACAGAAAATCCCCCAAAAGAGCAGGATCTCGGTATTTTTTTTCCTGTCCAGCTCTGCATGACGCGGCACAGCATAAAACCCCAACAGACAAAAACCACAGGGGTGCGGGGGGCACCTCACCAAGAGCTGAACACCAAAGTGATGTGCTGGTCACCATTAAAGTGCATTCGGTTCCACCTCAGCTCTCCAGCCCTGGGCTCACGCTACTTTCCCTCTCCCTCCCATCGCGCTGGCTGGGGGAGCACGAGACCTTGCCGGCAGCAGGCATGCAACCGTTTGCTCTCAGGTGTTAGTTCACAGCACCAAGGATGCTGAGAGCCCCGAGTCAGCTCAGCGCCACATCAGACGGCGGATTTTGTAACGTTTGCTGTCGTTCAGAGGAGGAATTTGTTCTCATCACAGCGCTCAGACTTGCCACAGGGACATCAGGGAGCTCCATCCCCTCAGTACCACGTACCCTGTGGGTTACTGCCTTCAGACAGCACGTAACGACTCATCTGGAAGGTGGATGATGATTTTGCTCATACAAATGTCACCCTGAAGGTTTAAACCGCCTACTGACGGAGCTGCAGTCGCGCCTGCTGAAGCCAAAGGATTCCAGCACGACACTAAGCAGCGCACGGGCTCAGGGCTGGCTCCCGCTGCCAACCTCTGGAGAGGCTCCAGCACTGAGAGAGAAACTCAGAGGGGGGGAGAATAAAAATAAAACTCTCAAAACCCAAGGCAGAGCCCAGCTTTCCTGTTGCCTTTCACGTGTGGGTCTACACTACAGGGATCCACTGCACGGCTACAGGGGGGAACGTGCCCTCGTCGTACTTCGGGCACCACCAGCTCTGCCTCTTATTGCACATAAAACCAACAGAGCGGCCACAGTGGCTCAGAGCAAGTGGAGAAATATTGTTCTGGGACCAGCCATCCGGAGGGAAGCACCCTTGGACGTGCAGAGAGACCTGCTTCATGCTTGGGCTTGAAAACGAGACGTGGTGACACCCCAGGGGAACACTACGGTAGGAGCAGGCTCACCTTCAGCGGGGAAGGAGCATAGGCAAAGTCAACCCTGATCTGGCAACAGTGTCGTCACTGCAGGTGTTGAGCCAAAGCCTGCTGATGTTCATGGGAAGGTAGGAACCGGCTGCGGCGCCTCTAATTAGTCCTGAGATCGCTGGGGACTGAATTTGCCTCCAGGTAGAGCGCACAGGTCTCTCCAGCCTTGTCCCTTGGCATTAGGCTGTCATCACTTGAGTTATTAACACAGAGGCAGGATCCAGCATTCCCAGGGCAGGAACACAGACGTCCGTTTCCGAGGGCATCACCTCCAAATCCCTTTGCAGTCAGTGGAGACAGGTGCTCCCGAGTAATACTGTATCATCCCAGCATGGGCCTCTAAAACAGGACAGATGAATCACACTCCAGAAGTATCTGTTTCTCTTCACTGACTGCAAAGAGAGCCTGGCTAGATCAACTGGAGATGCCTTTGGGCCAGAGACAGGTAAAATTAGGCAAGATTAATCCCACTCAAGGAGCGAGAGCTACAGCCTCAAACATAGTGACAGTCTAACAGATCACCCCAGGAGACATTACAACTCCAAGCCAGTGCTACATGTTGCCTGAGCCCACGGAGAAGAGGAACTGCTGCCTCATAAATACTATTTACACCAGTTTGCTTAAATTAAAATGAGTTTCTTGGGGGGAGGTAGAAGAGAAAGAGACAGATACTTCCTACTGCGGGAGCTAAAGGTATCGTCCTTCCCGGCCACCTTCGCCCCTGTCAGTTGTAGGACAGGTACTGGATTAACCGCGGAGGCATGTTTAGCTTGGCGATCTTCTCCAGTGCCCGCTGCCCGGCGGCTTTCCTCACCGTAACTCTGCAGAGTTGTGACAAACTCAGAGGCGTTTCTGAAAGGAGAAACAGAGGATCCACAGTTAGGGCTGCAGCTCAGCTAGCGGCTGGTCTTCCAACAGAGCACAGACCTCCTGGGAGGGTGACACCTGGCATCGTCACCGAAGCAATCGCGAGCCTGGCTCTGCTTAAAAATCCTTGCTCTCCCAAGGAAGGCACCGCAGAGCCTCTCTCAAAGCTCATCCCGATGCAAATCCCACCAGAAACAGTGAGCACAGCTACAGTGTGCTTCCCCAGCTCCCTTCCTCGCCTGCATCCCCCAAAGGCCAACAGTGCCCACGGGATCACCAGCTCTGATCCGCTGGGGCTATCCAAGACTTTCAGATTTCCCCCAGTGATGCTGTATTAAGCCTCAGCAACACTTTATATAGGAACAAAACCTGTTTCTGACACTTCCTCTACCGCTCCATTTCTCCATCGGAGGATTGCATTAACCCTTTTCACTCAGCACTCTGCTGAGAGCTCCAAGAAAACTCCCAAGCCCTTCCAGACAGCCCGCAGCCTCCATGCTGGGTGTCGATGCTCGTGCGTGGACGTAGAGTGACCATCCAGCATGTTGCTCTGGATGCAGTCATTCCTAAGAAGCTGCTATCCCTACCCCCACAGCCTCAGCAAGCACCAGCCTCCAAGATCTGCGTCTGTCCTGGATCTAGTCCCCAGTTTAATGATACAAATCAAAAGAGGAAAAAACCCAACAATAAAGCCAGCAGAGTTTTCACAACAGCTTGTGCTGAAAGGCAACTACACGTGTGGCTTTGCCAGCTGGGGTCAGTGGGCAGTAAACTCTGGTGAGACATAAGGAGTATTTCTGGGCAGGTAGGATTCAATCTCTCCTCCCAGACCAGCACACTTCGCTGCTCTCTAAGAATAGAGAGCAATGAGTAACTTGGAGGAGAGACGGGAGAAGTCAGGGGGAGAGGGAATTACAAGGTGCTCACCACACAAAGGACTGCAAAGCCAGAAAATGTTCATCTTCTATAAGGAAGAGATTTTTCTTTCGCTAAGGAAGAAATTCTTTATGACGAGGGCGGTGAGACACCGGAGCAGGCTGCCCAAAGACATTGTGGATGCTCTGTTATTACAAGTGTTCAAGGACAGGTTGGACGAGGCAACCTGACCTAGAGGAAGATGCCCCTGTTGGTTGGACTAAATGATCTTTAAGGTCCCTTCCAACCCAAACCATTCCATGATTCTATGATGTTTAGGATCATCTAGTGCAGCAGCAGCCTGCAAATGCTCAGAAGGGTCTGTGAATTACTCCCCTGAGGCCCTTGACGTGTTACCAAGACAAAGATTGATTTAAAGCCAAACCTCAGTCAAATGTCTCCTCCAAAATCCGACAGCCAGCAGAGCGAAAGTTTAACGTGTTCCCTGCCCCAAACAAAATGAGTTTTCACCTGGGTGATTCCCTTGACCTGGCAATGCACCAAAGCATAAACACTATTGCTGACACACAAGAGGGACTTGAATACAGTGAGGGCATAATTTGGACCACTTTACCACTGTCATTCAACCACAATTAAGCGGAGCTAGACTCCAGCCAGCTGGTGTACATTTGCCACCAAGAACTTCACCTTCCCGAGAAGATGATCAGGGATCTACACACCAAAGTGGACTGAGAATCGTGATCTGGTGCAATGGAGTTGGCAGTCCCTGAATTCCTGGGGCAGGGGGTCCTATCTGACTTACTTTCATAATACTCAAAGCACTTTGCTGTGGGACTGCTGCTCCAGGTGTAATCCGACGGCTTCTTTCCTCGGTTGTCCCTTGCATAAATGTTTCCTCCAAATTCAATCAGCATCTCCACCAGATCTACGTTTTTCACTTTTGCTGCATGGTGGAGGGCCGTCTCGTGAAGTTTAGCAGCATTCACATTCGCCCCTGAGAGCAGAAAGAAAAACAAACCTGTTGATGAAACTCATTTGACCCAAACATAGGGAGTGGTTTGAGTGGAGAAAAAAATGCTGTTAATACACGCACGAGCAGCCAGAACAAGATCCAAACAAATCAGCACAAACAGGAAACCAGACTGCGGAACAAGATCTCGGTGCTGGCAGCACACGTGTTTTCTTCTCTGGTTTTATGTTTTCCTTGCAGAGAACGGATTTTAGTCCATGTTCCTGGGTAAATAAACGGCTGAGTGTGAAGTTCAGAACGGCTTCCTGAATCTGTGCTGTCCAAGAGCCATTCCCAGCCATCTCAATGGAGTATTCCTACTCGAGACAAACAGTGACAAGTTTGTTAACTACTTTAACAGAAACACCCCAGCCCCGTGAGATGTTGCAGCTCACCATCAGACACTCCTGCAGTTGTAGTTAGGTGTAGACCAAGTTGTAGTTAGGTTGTAGATCAAGGTGTTTCTGCTGAGAAAGTTTGGCTTTCAACAGCAAAAGGACCTGCTCATACCCCCACGGCTGTTTGCGTTTTATCCACTGACTTGTTCAGCTGGAGGGAGATGAGCCTCCCTGACTCCAAATAACTGACTTTTAGATATGTGTGGCCACACTGACCTCCCCAGCCATTAACGAGGAGAAGTAGAAGCTGCTGGGGAATTAATTAATGGGTGCCCAAGACAAGGGAACAAACTTAAATGCTTCATTCTTAGACGACTAATATTCAATCAAGCAAATCTCCACTCCTGGGCCAAATCTCCTCCTGGTAAGCACAGGCAAAGACAAGAATTCCAAATCCAAAGTTAGCAGCAAAAAAAAAAAAAGAGGTGGGATGTGAAACCTGGAGCACAGAACATTGACTTGAATATCCAGCAAACTCCACCGGGCATAACGCTGACCAGATCTCCCTGAGGTGTGAAGTGACTTCACCTCTGCTTTTCTGCACAACATCAAACCCTAACAAATCTCCTTGACACCTATCCAAAACCATACGACCGTGCTAGCAAAGCTGAAAACACACACATCCGTTGATGCCACTTTTGGGAAGAAGTTGAAACGTTGCTCTAGGGGGCTGAATTTGCTCTAGGAGGCTGAATTTTATTTTAATAAGAGACGGAATGTCACTGAGAACATCAAAAACTGCATACTGATGGGCATTCACAGAAAAAAATGCTTAAGTATTAAGCTTTGCTAAGGTAAAGGCAAAACCTTTCACCTCTGTCATCTGCATTATGCTACGAATGGATCAGCTCTTCGACAAGAACGCCACTGCGGAGCACCGAAGGAAACGCTGCGCACAGACACAACCATCTCCTGCCCACCCAGAAGCCAACCCTGTGGCTGCCTTACCTGCCTTCAGCAGCAACTTCGCACAATCCAGATGCTCCCTGGCACAGGCCACGTGTAGGGGAGTCCCAAAGTGGCAGTCGTGAGCCTCCAAGTTCGCACCGACGTCGATGAGGAGCTGCACACACTCGGAGCTGCCTTTAGAAAGGGGAGATCCGAGTCAAAAGAAAGAATCCAGCTCAAATGGGAGCCCATGGCATGCTGAGACCAGCCTGACCCGCAAACAGCCTGTTTCATATCTGGGGTGAGGGCTGCAGAGCAGAAATGCTCGTGAGCCGACACAATACACCGCAGGACCACGACGAGGGCACATGAAATAGTCACTGAGCTAACAGGTCTTGCAGGGAATCAGGTCAAACAAACCTGAATTCCAGGGTTTGCACTAAAGTGCCTGTTGTTCGTGAAGCTGGTTGTATCATTGATCCTGCCTGGGGTGGATTAAATCACCTTCAAGGCCACCCCAGCTTTATTTTTTTCAACGCTAATAATACGACTTAACAGAAAGCAGGCAGTCATCATCAACAGGCCTTAGGAAAAAGGTCTAACAAGGAAAAGCTAAGCAAAAGCTCACAGCTACATATTTAAGTAACTACCTGTTTGCCAAAAATGCTGTCTCCCACAGCCTTCAGAGTCGAAGGGAAACTCTGTCCAGGACAGCACATAACAAAACCAGTGAAGGGGAGGAGAGAGGAGGGATCACATCTTACAAAGAGGAAACTGAGGCACAAAACAATTAAGAGATTTGGTCACAACCATCTAACAGGGACATTGCCACTCTCACATCCAGATTTTTCTGCTGTTGCACCCATGCAAGTGGAAGTTCAGAGGAGGAATTACACTTAAATACCCCTCTGCCACTCCCCCTGCCTCTGCTGCTATCACAGCCACCCCGATGCTTGCTCCTGCTCCGTAACCCAGATCCAAACGTCCAGAAGAGGCTTGAGTAGAGGACAGGCCGGGGAATAGAGAGCAGCTGACACACACTAGCTGGGACATTATTTTGGCCCCTGCAGCTTTCTCTTATTCCCTGGGCAGACCCTCCAGCTGGAAAAGGCTGTGCAAGGGACAAGGAGCAGTACAGGCAGCAGCACTGCCCAAGAGTCCTGGCACCTTCTTCCCACCTGACAGCTTCCCCAGCAGCTCTGAACAACCAGGAGGGGTCTGAGACAGGACAGGACAGGACAGTCTTGTGACTTAATGAGAACAATTCACCCCATCCCAGCTTGGATCATAGGGAAAAAATAAAAGGATAAAAGCACCCGACACAAGAGATAGATAGCAATGGGTTTAAATTGAAAGCGGGGAGATGGAGATGGGACATCAGGAAGGAATTCTTCCCGCAGAGGGTGGGGAGGCATTGGGACAGGTTCCCAGAGAAGCTGTGGATGCCCCATCCCTGAGAGTGTCCAAGGGCAGGCTGGATGAGGCTGTGAGCAACCTGGTCTATGGAAGGTGTCCCTGCCCATGGCAGGGGGGTTGGACCTGGATGGTCTTTAAGGTCCCTTCCACCCCAAACCAGCCTGTGATTCTATGGCTTTATTCACCTGATAACCACAGTGCTTTGCATTCTGCATTCAAAGGGAGCTGCACTCACGTAAGGCTGATATATTAGCGAGCTGTAATGGTCTGATGAGCAACAACAGCTTACAGTCAATTTAAGATACTTGGCAGCTGCTTTGGTTGTTGTTGCTGGGTTTTTCCAAGCGGCAGGTAACTGTGCAAAGGCGACAGCTCACAGGCTCACCATTCATGCAGGCTTCGTGGAGAGGAGATGCCGTGTAAAGGGGAGGGTTCACCTTGGCGCCATGGGATAGCAGCACTTTCACACACTCTATGCTCCCCGAGGCACAGGCGTCGCAGAGCGGAGTGCTGCCATCAATATTTCTGGCATCCACCTTCAAGGCAGAAAAATATGTCAGGTACCCACAGGCTGCTGTGTGGCAGTACCCTCTTGCCTATGTTTTCACTTCTTTTAACCCTAGAAATATTCCAGACTCGATAAAGAGTTGGTTGCTACTTCCAGCAGCCTGGGTTGCACCATTCCCATCACTCCCAAGGCACAGATGTACATTAATGTCACAAGTTTAGGGTCTTATTTCCATCAT